CGTGCTGGCTGGAAGTGAAGAGAACTTGAAGCACTTTTGTTAGAGGAACCCAGCCTCTAACAACTGAAGGTACTGTAGGCGCAATTGTACGGCTATAATATATAAAGATCATAGTAATGTCATAGAAGATAGGATAGAGAATAAAATAAAGGAGTCAGACACATTTCATAGTAGCATGCTCACCTCACCCCCTCTTGGTGGTCCACGTGAAGGTGGGTAAAGAGAGAGCAGCAGACAGTGTCTTTACTATCTTGGGATATTTATAGGTAGCCATAAGACATGCATATTCAGTATTTACATACGTCACAAGGTGGATGATAAGTACAGTAATGTCCTTGAACCCACTGGTGAGGTGACCTAATACCTGCATTGGGGGGAGCATCCAAAGGGGCTGGGTGCTGAGGTGGGAGGAGATAACAAAAGAATGTCTGCTTCTTCAGGAAGATATAATCCACCATGTGGTCACTTTAAGGCAGCAGAGATGTTAGGGGAGAATCTGTGGGAATAATACTTGAAACAGGATCATGTACTTGGAATTTATCTCTAACTTACCAAAGTGATGGCTTTCCTACAGTGGAATACTAGCTTTCCAGATTCCCTCTGTTAATAGTTGGGAAAATAGTCCTAGTCATATTTCCCTCAGTGCTTGTTTCCCACACAATTTTCTAATGAAAATCAAAGATTACATCCTGCAATATAGATTAAAACTCAACCAAAAGAAGACAAAAATCCTCACAACAGAACCAATAAGCAGCATCACAGTAAATGAAGAAAAGCTTGACATTGTCTAGAATTTCATTTTACTTGTTTGTATAATCACGATCCATGGAAGCAGCAGCCATGAAATCAAACAATGCATTAAGCAAGTCTGCTGCAACAACAAAAAAAACTCTTTACCCTGTTAGAAAGCAAAGCTTTCCCTTTGAAGCTCTGGCCGACGCCATGATATTTTCATTTTCCTGAGAAAGTTCAATAATAAGGAAGATTAAAGAATTGATGCCTTTGAATCATGGTGTTGGCAAAGAATATTGCAAATAACATGAACTGCAAGGAAAAATAAATTTGTCCTGGAAGAAGTACAGCCAGGATGAAATTCATCTCATGTACTTTGTACATGTCATCAGGAAGGATCAGTCCCTTGAGTAGGACATAATGGTTAGGGACATTATGCTTGATAAAGCAGGAGGTGAGGGTCAAAGATATAGACCCTCAACACAGTGGCTATTAGCAATGGGCTCAAACAGCAATGATTTAAGAATTGCACAGGTCCAGGGTCTCATTCTGTTGTACATAGGGTAGACACAGAACAGATGTGGAAGAACCTGCTAAGATAACAACAAGATTATGTCGTTGTTGTTAGGTGCCATCAAGGCAGTTCTAACCTAAGTACAACAGAACAAACAGTGCCTGGTCTTGAGCTAGTCTCACAACTGTCCTTATGTTTGAGTCGATGGATAGCTTGTTGAGCGTCTTCCTCTTTTTCACTGCCTTCACCCTCCTTTACCAAGCACGGCGTCTTTCTCTAGGTACTGGTCTCTGCTGTAGCAAGTTCAAAATATGTGAGACAAAGTCTTGCCATCCTTACCTCTGAAGGAGCATTCTGGCTGTACTACCAACACAGATCTGTTTGTTCTTTTGGCAGTCCATATTCAACATCTCAATATTTTTCTCCAGCACCATAATTCAAATGCATCAATTCTCCTGCCATCTTCCTTACTCAATGTCCAACTTTCACATGCAGAGGAGGAAACTGAAAATACCATGGCTTGGGCCGTGTGCACCTTAGTACTCAAAGGAACATCCTTGCTTTTCAGCACTTTAAAGAGGTCTTGTGCAGCAGATTTACCCAATGCAGTGCATCATTTGATCTCTCGAGCACTTCTCCCATAAGCATTGAATGTGGAGTCATGCAAGATGAAATCTTTGGCAACTTCAGCCTTTTCTCCATTTATCATGATGTCCAGTTGTGAGGAATTTGACTTTCTTTACATTGAGTTTTAATTCATATGGAAGGCTGCAATCCTTGATCTTCATCTGCAAGTGCTTCAAATTCTCTTCACTTTCAGCAAGCAGGGTTGTGCCATCTGCAAATCACATATCGCAGATTGCTAATAAGCCTTCCTTCAATCCTGATGCCACATGAGCCGCCATATAAACCAGCTTCTCTGATTATTTGGTCAGCATAATGATTTATTAAATATGGTGAGTGGATACAACCTTGATGCGCACCTTCCTAATTTTAAACCATGCAAGTATTTCCTTGTTTTCTTTTAATAACTGCCTCTTGATCCATGTATAGGTTCCACACGAGCACATTATAATATATAATAAGAAAACATAAAATACAGGGCATCATTTCTTAAACATTTCATTTTGAGAAACTTGTGGATTCACATACAGTTGTAAGGAATAACACAGAGAAATCTTCGGTACCTTTTATTCCATTTCCCCCAATGGTTTCCTTTCATGGCCACACATTTCACACCAGCTCCTACCCTCCTCATTAACTCATCGGTTTTCCACTTCTTTAATATGAGAATGCTAAGTGAATAGAATCATACTTCGAGGATTTACTTTTCATTCAGCATAATTCTCTGACTAGTCATCCAGGTTGATGTGTATCAGTGATTTGTTTTTATTGATGAAGAATATTCCATGGTCTAACTATCACAGTATCACAATTTGCTTACTCACTCACTTGTTATTTTCAGGGTTTGACTATTCTGAATAAAGCTGCTATACACAGTCATGTACACATGTTGGTGCACACATGTTTTCATTTCTCTGGTATAAATGCATAGTAGTGCAATTACTGGCTTGTATGGCATTATTGAATTGCCTTTTTTTTTTTTACAAAGCTGCCAAATTAATTTTCAGAGTGACTGTGACAGTGGTTTAAGCTTTGAGCTGCTAACCAAAAGGCTGGCAGTTCAAATCCACCAGACCCTTTGTGGAAATAAGTTCAAGCAGTCTGCCTCCAGAAAGATTTACAGTCTTGAATGCCCTGTGGAGCAGTTCTAATCTGTTTTACAGCATTGCTACAATTTGAAATCAACTTAACAGCAGTAGGTGTTTTGTTTTTTTTGTTTTTTTACATTCCTACCAGCAATGCATGAGAATTATAGATGTTTTATTTGGCCATTTTAATAGGTAAGCAGAGGCACCCTGGTGATGCAGTGGTTAAATGCTCCAATGCTAACCCAAATGTTGGCAATCCAAACCCACTAGCCACACCATGGAAGATGAGGCATTCTGCTTCGGTAAGGTCTACAACCTTTGGAAATCCTGTAGGGAAGTTCTATGTTGTCATATAGGATCACCAAGAGTCAAAATGAACTCAGCTGCAATAGATTTGATTTTATTTGGTTGGTGTCAACAGAGGTCAATTGGGGAACTGACACTTCTACCCCTACAAGGTAGCAAATCTCTTTCCCCAGCAGAGCAATGGGTTGGAATCCACTCAATGATAATAGTTTTTAACTAGAGCAAAGTCAACCAAACCAAATCCATTGCCTGTGCAATTCTGACTCATGGTGACCCTATAGAACTTCCCCATAGGAAGGCATATAATCTTTATGGAAGTAAACCACATCTTTCTCCCACAGAGCATTTGGTAGGTTCAAATGACCAACCTTGGGGTTAACAGCTAAGCCCTTAACCACTGACCTACCAAAGCTCCTCAAAGTAATGTCAGAGGTCCAGTCTCATAACATAAAACAACGTTATGCAATAAAAATTGCAGAATATGCAAGTGAATATCTCATTTTGCAATGGATTTAAGTTGTATACAATAAAACTTGAAGGTTTACCAAATTATTTATCAACCTAAAAATTTACCCAGGATAAGAACTTGCATGGCCTTCTATGCCAGGGACCTTTGGAATTATGGACCCTTCTTGGAGACAAGGTTATAGGTCACCATTGTCTAGGGCATACAACCTTCAATTGGAGATAGTTAACTTAGTAAACAGTCACCACAAATCCTAGGAGAGTCTGGTCTCATAAAATCATTCACTTACATTACATCAAAGGAAAACAAAAAAAGTATTGTACAGTTCTTATGTACTATTTCATGAGAATTTGGAAATAATTTCCACTTTGTGATACTTTTTAAGTGAATGGAGAAAGCCCCCAAAAGGCATCAATATTATCTTGGACACAGAAGGGAAGGACCTATCACCTCAAAGGGAAGAAACAGTGACTAGTGTATATGGTGGCGAGCCACAGACAAATGGTTTTTTTGTCTGCACTTTCTAAGGCTCCAGTTCCTCCTATGCCTTGGAGCGGGTTTAAGGAGCGAGACAGTACCAGCAGAAAGCTGGAAAAGCAATAGAGGTAACAACTAATCATTCTTTAATAGTATCTTGAGTAGAAAGTAAAGGAAGTTCACTGAATCATCCACTGACTTTTTAATAATACATGTGCCACTTGGAAAGGAGAAGGGAGTCTCCTCTGCACTTTGCTCCCCACATTTTCCAATGTCCTTCACATTACAGAACAGACTATATGAATTCTACATTCCCTTAGGATAAAAAGAAGGCTTAGATAATCTTCATTTTTTTAACAATCAAAAATCACTATGGCTATGTAAGTTGTACATTTTTTCTCATAAAATGATTGAGAAGTTGAAAAAAAATGAGGCCAAAATTAATTCAAATGAATCCAGGTTTAATTTAAAGCAGGTGCATGCTAAAGAAGAGATTACTAAAGCAATGATGGCAGGTTCAAATGAAAGGGAAAAGTTGGCAATTTTAGTACAATTGTGCTGACATGTTCATTTAAATTTTCATATAAGATCAATTTTGAATAATATACAATAGGTATTAATTTTTTAAATAGTACAGTAGTTAACTAAAGTTCTGATTAACTTAAAAAGTACTATAATTAAATATTTTATATATAAGTAGAATTTTAATATAAAGTACTGTAATTAAATATTTTATATATAAGTAAGTTTTTATATAAAATTTTATATATAAGTAAATATTCTACATAAAGAAGGTCACTTTTCCATACAATGATTAAAGTTCTAATTTTAACAACATAAAACAAAATTATCCAAAAATTTACAATTCAGTTGAATCTTCCATCTTTAAACTCTTCATAATCTTTCTTTGACAAACAGATCCAGACAGATGAGTTCTAAAAAAAGATGACAGGATGATCGTGTTACTTTAGAATGTCACAGTCAGTAATTATTGGAATAGTTGAACATTTCTAAGACTTCGGCAGCAGTTAGCCACTCCCTCTAATTACGGTGGTTATGGCTGACTTCCTCTAGCTGACTCAGTGTGTAACTCATATTGTCCTTCTCTACTCCAAATCCTGCCAATACCCTCCCGTTATTTCAAGATCCCGTTTGTGAGAATTGTAACAAAAACACTCTATCAAAAGCCACTTCAATGCTCACAAACAAGGCCCTGGAACTTGTTTGACTTGCAGGGACTGGAACTTGACATGCTCCTGGCTGATGTACCTCTGTACGCCTACTCTCTGGACCCCCACGCTCACCGAACACGGAGGTCTTGCCCCTCTTTGAACTTGCAATGCCTTGATCTTTTGTGAGCTTCATTCGCCTCCTTTGTCAGCCACACAATCATCTCTCTTTACTCCTAATTAAACCCCGAGATTCACTGACGTTTTGAACTTGAAAAGTCTTCTTTATCCTAAGCATCCCTGACATTGTATTTTCTGCCCACTCTCTCACCCTCCATCCTCATTATTTGAACTACATATGACCTTTATGCAGTACAGAAAGCAATGCAACATTTCCAACTGCTTACTTGGAATTACATGTGAGTACCTCACTATCTACATCCAGATGCTTCTTAGAAGTGGGGACAGTGAGACTGTCTCTCGTACTTTGGACATGCTGTCAAGAGACGCTAGTACCTGGAGAGAAGAACATCACATCGGTAAAGCAGAGGGGAAACAAAAACAGAAGGCCCTCAACAAGATGGATTCCCACGATGGGTGCAACAATGGACGCAAGCCTAACAACGAGCTTGAGGATGGCACAGGGTCAGGTAACGTTTTCTTCTATTGCACATGGGCCATCCTGAGATAAAACTGACTCGACCGCACCGACAACCACCACCTCACTATCACCTGCAATGCAGCATGCCACTATGAACCTCAATACTTTCACAAGGCGAATTCTTCCTCTTGGCCTCTTTCTTTCTTATTTACTCGCTCTCAGAACACCACCATTTCTCTTACAGGTTTATGTGAGAAACGGACAGACCAGTAGTGGCATCATAAAAGAAGAAACCAAAAGATCCTTAAAAAGAAAACAAACAAAATGGATGTCATAAAACCTGTATGTAAAGCAGGTAATGCTCCAGGAATTGATGGAATGCCAATTAAGGATATTTCAGCAAATGGATGCAATGCTGGAATGCCAAGAAATCTAGAAGACACCTCCTCAGTCAACCAATGGCACAGATACATATTTGTGACCATTCAAAAAAAAGTGATCCAACAGAATGTGTAAATTATGGAGCAATATCATACAGAGTTAACATTTTGCTGAAGATAATTCAAAAACAGTTACCATAGTAAATCAATAGGGAGCTACCAGAAATGCAAGATAGATTTAGAAGAGAATGTGGAGCAATGATGTTATTGCTGACACCAGATAATCTTGGTGGAAAGCAGAGGATACCAGAAAAATATTTGCTTGTGTTTTATTGACTATGAAAAGGTATTTGACTGTGTAGATCATAACAACCTATGGACAACATTGAGGAGAATGAGAAATCCAGAACACTGAATTGTGTTATATAGAACCTGGACCTGGGTCAACAGGCAGTCATTTGAATAGAACAAGGAGATGCCATGTGCTTATAATGATGAAAGGTGTGTCAGGCTGTTTCTTTTCACCATACTTTCTAAATCTGTATGCTAAGCAAATCATCTGAGAAGCTGGACTATACAAAAAAAGAACGAAGTATTGGGATTGGAGGAAGATTCATTAACAACTAGCAATATGCAGATGACAATCTTTCTTGCTGAAAGAAGACTTGAAGCACTTGCTGATGAGGATCAAAGACTGTAGCCTTTAATATAAATTACACCTCAGCATCAAACAAAAATTCTCATAACTGGACCAGTAAACAACATCATGAAAAATGGAGAAAATATTGAAGTTGTCAAACATTCTACTTTACTTGGAATCACAATCAATGCCCATAGAAGCAGCAGTCAAAACATCAACTGACTTATTTCATTGGGCAAATTTGCTACAAAAGACCTCTTTAAGGTGTAAAACAGCAAAGATACTACTTTAAGGACTAAAGTGCACTTTCCCCAAGTCAATTTCCCCATATGCTTATGGAAGCTGGACAATGAATAGGAAGACCAAAGAAGAACTGATACCTTTGAACAATGGTGTTGAAGAATATTGCAAAAATGAACAAATGTGCTTGGAATAAATTAAACCAGCATGCTCCTTAGAAGCAATGATGGCATGACTTTTGACTTTCATTTATTATGGACATGTTTTCTGGTAAAGTTAAGGGGAAGAAGAAGAGGAGGAGGAGGAGGAGGAGGAGGAGATGATAACGACTCTCTGAATGATGGGTTTGCACAGACAGTTGCAACAAGAGGCTCAAGTATAGCATGACTGTGAGGATGGCACTGGACCAGGCAGTGCTTTGCTCTGTTGTACATCAGACCAATACAATATGTGGTTATATAAAAAGTTATCTTAGTCTTAGGACATATATTCTAGTGTATTGAAAATAAACACACATATACGCATGGAGGAGGATAATGAAAATGATAACGTAAACATGGTAAAATATTTTAAAATAAGTTAATCTGAATATAAATCATACACAAGTTCTTTGCATTATTCTTGCTAAGAGTTGGCACCATCCCAACAGCATCTAACAACAACAGTATGTGGTTATATAAAAGATATTCTTGTCACTAGTATGTACATTCTATTATATTAAAAGGTAATACTTTATATGCATACAGAACAAGAGAATGAAAAGGATATAGTAAATGTGGTACAATGTTTCTAAAATTCCGTTTATCTGAGTATCAAGTGTGCAAGGGTTCTTTGTATTATTTTTGCAGCTTTTTCTGTATGTTTGAGTTCCTTTAAAATAAAAGGTTAACAAAGTATGCCACGTTTCTGCACTCCCTACTTAACTGAGTAGAAATCTGGCCTGGTATTCAAAGGAGACATGTTCTAACTATCTCCTTGCCTGCATTACCTTCAATTGGCAGAAATCTGTGTACATACCTAAAATACACTCCCTTCCTCCCTTATTTGTGTCTAATTTGTTTTCCAAGCCCTATCTTAATCCTTAAAGTACGGTTGTTTTGATAAGTGCCATGCAGTGAGTTCTGACCCACAACCACCCTATGCATACCAACAGGAAAGCCTGCCAGGTTCTGATTCATCCTCACAATTGGACCTATGCCTGAGCCCTAGTTGTAGCCTCGGTGCCCAGCTCCATCCATATTCTTGACAGTCTTCCTCTCCTTTGTTGCCCATCTATTTTATCAGACATGCTGTCCTTCCCAGGAGACTGGTCTCTCCTGATAACATCTCCAAAGTATCTAAGACAAAAATCTCACCATCCTTGCCTTTAAGGAGCATTTTGGCTGTACCTCTCCCAAGACATATTGGTTTGTCCTTTTAGCTGTCCATAGTACTTTCCATATTCTTCTCCAGCATCATAATCCAAATGCAGCCATTCTTCTTGGGTTTTCTTTATTCAATATCCAACTTTCACATGCATATGAGGCAAAGGAAAATACGATGGCGTGGCTCAGGTGCACCTTGGTCCTCAAAGTGACATCCTTGCTTTCCAATGCCCTAAAGAGCTCTTGTGCAGCAGATTTACCCAATGCAATGCATCATTTGATCTCTTGACTGCTGCTTCCATGAGCATTGATTATGGATCCAAGCAAGACAGAATCCTGGACAACTTCAACCTTTTCTCCATTTATCATGATGTTTCCTATTGGCCCAGTTGTGAAGATTTTGGTCTTTACACTGAGTCATAACACAATCTGAAGGCTGCAGTTCTTGATCTTTATCAGTAAGTGTTTCAAGCCCTCCTCACTTTCAGCAAGCAAAGCGGTTTCATCTGCATATTGTAGGCTGTTAACAAGCCATCCTCCAATCTTGACACCACATTCTTCTTCATATAAACCAGCTTCTCTGATGATCGGCTCAACATACAGATTGAATAAGTATGGTGACAGGATACAACCTTGTTGAACACCTTTCCTGATTTCAAACCATGCAAGTATTACATATTCTGAACCCCATGAAATTGGATATAATTTCTCCTGGAGAACTGTATAAACTGGAGGCACTAGTAAACCAGGAGGATGGTTAAAAAGAAAGAAGGAACAATGATTTGTGTTCTGTTTAAAATATGTGGCATTTAATAGCTAGGGAACTCTGGTAGCATATTGGGTTACAAGGTGGACTGCTAATCACAAGGATAGCAACTCAAAACCACCTGTTGTTCTGTGGGTAAAAGATGAGACTTTGGACTCCTGTAAAGAGTTACAGTCTTAGAAACCCAAGGGGAAGTTCTACCCTGTCCTATAGGTCACTGTGAATTGAAATCAACTCCACAGCAGTGCGTTTGCTTTTTGACTTTTACTCACAGGAGAAAGGTGACGCAATCTTCTCTGGTAAAGATTTATAGCATCAAAAACCCGATATGGGGTCACTATGGGTTGAACTGACTCAACAACAGTGAGTTTGTTTTTTGCAGCCTGGAAAATATCAAAGGTATATAACCTGAAGTCAGAGGTAAAAGAGAGCCTTGAGGGTCAGAACCCCAGAAAAAGTCATTGATGCTATAAAAGTGGGTGAGTTACCATAAAATAAACAGGCAAGGAGATGAGGGTCAATAATTATCCTTAAGAATTTGTTATTAGGTGGAAATAAAAAACACACGAAACTATGATCCAAGAGACAGAAAGAGAACTATGATGTCATCCACTATAAAAATAGGAAAAAATATTTGTAAGAGTAGTGGTAAGACTAAATGTTCAAAGAATGTGGAGTTATGGACAGGGGGTTGGGGGGAGAGGTTGGGTCCTTGGAGAGAGCAGTTTTAATAGCATGGTGAAAACAAGGCCCAAGTGCAATTTTCATTTCAATACATATTTACTGAGTGCCTACTATGACCACTTTCTAGAAAGAGCACGGCCTGTTTGGTAAAGCAAGAACAAGGGAAAGCCTGCACCAGATGGACTGGCACAATAGCCACCACCACAATGGGCTCAAACATACCAATCATGAAACCGGCTGATAGTTTATTATGCCAGCCTGGTCGATAAATACAAGTAGGATTAACTGAAGGGTGGAGAGATAATGGCTCGGTGAGCCTCGCCTTTCTTGTCTCTTGCTCTGTGATCATC